AAGATTTAAGAGTCATTCTGGGTAATATTAGGTAAATCATTTTTTGTGGGCTGATCCAGAGAAAGTGTTTATTATTGGTTTTCTTTTCTTTCTTTTTTTTTATAAACACACATCCCTTTTCTCAAATGATTTCTTTTACAGGTTTTCACCAATTCTTAAAATGACTAGCATCATTAGTTATTTCCAATGTCCCACTAGCTATTAATGATTTAAGACAAACATTTAAAATTTGTCAAGTTCAAATTTAAAACTAAATAAAGCCAAAAGCCAGCTTGCAGTTAAAATTCTCCTGAGAGCTTGTTTTCCCAGGGCCAGTGACTATTAAAGGAAACTCCAAGAACACAAGGAATCCGTCAGACAGCTACTTAGTGACAGAATCAAATGAATATTGTTAGGTAAGTGTTTTAATAACGCAGCATTTTCTAAGCATTTTCCCAAGATTATTTTTAATTGACCCTGTCATAAAGTAGTAGCAAACTGCCTTAAAACAGTAATCAGTTTGAAACTAGTTGAGCAAGCTTAGGACAGAAAGTTGTTAATAATATGCTTAGAAATTTACCTGTGAAATGCGGAGCTTGACTACTTATGGAAAAGTAGAATTAAAAGTAAACGGCCTTTGTAATGCAAATCGACCAGTAGCGGGAAAGCCACCACCTTTGGAATGCCGAGACTTCACCTGAGCTTGCAACAAGACCTTGCGCACCCTGGGGTTCATGGACTCATAACTGTTTTGACATGCTGGCCAGGGTCCTTCGGTGTCCCTGAAGCACAATCCGCGGGTGCACCAGGTCTTGCACCCAGCAGCAGGACGCGAGCACCGTGACCCGTCACCCAAGAGGGGACCAGGGCGGCTCCCGTGTCCCGTGTCTCCCGCTTTCCCAAGACACTCTTTCTAACTTCGCCCGAGGGCCGCAGAGCTGGACCTGCGCGGGGCGAGGTGGATTTAGCCCAGTTAGAGTTAAGATGGTATCATTAGCTGCGCACAGCGTGACTTCCCGCTAATCCTCTCTGCAACTTACAACAAGTTTAAATGTCCATGCATGATGTTATTAACTGGCTTTAGTAAGTGCTTAAGACCCAGATCTCTTTTTAAAGTAATCTCTGAACAAGTTCTACTGTATCCACCCAACAAGGAGATTAATATTTCCAGCAAATCTGATGATGGGGGAAGATGCGCCCCGAAGTAGAGTGGACGCCGCCCAAGGAAGGGCCCCGAGAAGCTTGAGCTCCCCAACCCCTGCTACCCAACAACCCGCCCGCCACTCCAGCCCCCCCCCCAAGTTTCCCCGGGGACAGGGGACTCTTTCCATTATTAGCTTTTCACTAGATTACAAAATATGTTGGGGGGGCAGGATATCTTTATCAATGATATTGATCGCATCCGGGAAGAAGCCTAGGCAAAACCAGAGAAGCCGAGTGTCATTACAAGAAAGCCCTTCATCACAAGGGTCCGGCGGCCTGAGGACCGGGCCTGCGGCAGAGGGTGGCCGCTGCCTGCCCTAAGGGACGGCCGGGCGTGACTAAGCCTCGACGCCACCTCCATTCACAAGCCCCGCTCAAGATTTCCCAACCAGCCGCAGAGCGCAGCGGGCACAATGGCCAGGCCCAGGTCGCCGGGAAAGGGCACCGAGGGCCGGCGAATCAAAACAACACGGAACAGCCTTTGCGGACGCGGCCCCGCGTGCCCAGTCAAGCAGAGGCCGGCGGCCCGAACCTGCCAGTCGCGCGGCGCCGGG